TCCTTACTATTTTAATAGATATGCGTCGAGAGGAACGGATAGGAGGCCTCTGAGCAGAGGACAAAGGAGCTCGACATGGCGACATCAGTGCAGTAGACTGCTGCTCAAAGAGAGATGAAGTTACGATCATCGAAACCAAAAATTTACAACACGAATGTTGTGGGAACTGCGAGCTTAGGCTGCTGGTCAAAGAAAATTTCAAATGATCAATCGTGCGCGACGAATCTGACAAAATTCGTCCAGAATAGCTCCAAACGGGAAGATGAGATTAAGAACTTACGACCGACGAAACTACGAACCGATCGCCTGAACGAAACTGTAGCATCGAGGTTGAAGAAGACACCACGTAAACACCTCACATCCCTCCCGTTTCTCCTCGTGCAGGGGCCCACTCGCTGCGCTGCCGCTCGGCCTGACTCGAGAGAAACTGCCGATTTGAGCGTTTCTAGGGAGCCAGGCCCAGAAGTGCTTTAAGAAGCATGCGATGCACGCCCAATAGTGTATGCAGGCTACCAAACAGGCTGGATACTTCTCGCGCGGGCCTGGTTGAGGCCTATGCAGGCAACCAAACACACCCTAGAGTGTCCTAACCAAACATGGCGGTACACCCCCAAACTTAAAAGATGCTTCGCTAAATTGTGAGCCTCGAAATTCGAACTCCTATACTCGTGAACAAAATTACATCTCAAGAAAGAGCGACTATGATCTATAATTTCATGTAATATTGCTCCATAACTAGTCAAGTGCCGCTGCTTGATATCATCCACCACAACCTTGCAGTCAGAAGCAACATGAATGCTTTGAAGATTGAGGTCTTCAATGAGTGCTAGTGCCTCCAGGATCGCCAAGGCTTCAAGTGTCGGAAGGTCAGCTATACCCTTGAAAACAATGGCCGATGCCCCTTGGAAGACTCCTTGATTGCGGCAGATAGCTGCTGCAACTCCTCGGCCCCTATTACGTGTGATGGAGGCATCAACATTGATATTAAGAAACATGTCAGGCGGCCGAATCCAATGTGTAGGTCGGGCCATTGGTTGTCATACTGTGTTGTTGCTTGGCTTGTTAAGGGCATAAAGATCTGCTAGATAAGATTGGATGAACTGGCTTGTTGATATCGGACTCTGGAAGATATCCTCGTAAATGGCCTTCCTCCTTGCTCGCCAAACAACCCAGAGAGTGACTACCAGCAGTAAAAATTCTTTCTGTGGTAGATCAGTGTGCATCGCAAAGATCCAGTTCTGTGGTTTTTAGAAGACTTGATCATACCTTGGGGTCCCGGCTAGGTTTTGGGTCGGCCTTAACAAAGCTTGGCCTGGTTTTTTAGGTACTCACCCAACTGTCATCAACTTTGGTGATAGTGTGGCACTAGTTTTAATTGTTTTTACTGCCCATGTCTTAAGAACTACACTTCATTAACTTCTTTGCTGATAGCGTGCGCAAGCGCGGGATCTGCGTGAGCTCGATCTGGGTGACAGAGCGGCATTGGATGTGGAACGGCGCCGGAGCAGCGGAGCGCCTGAGAAGCGTGAAGAGTGAAGACGGCCTCGTCTCCCTCACGGTGCACCCACCATGGTAGCACGGCCCCTACCCCAACACGCCACGGCGCCATGGCTCCGTGCGCCTGGTAATATGGCTTCATTAGATGTAGTAGTGCTATGTGCTCCGTCGCTTGGAACAGGGGCGTGAGATCTCTCTGTCGCCTCCCCTCCCCTCCCATTCGTCGCCCCCCCGCGCGGGCGACCCAGGGGCTCCAACCCTAGCTGTCAGGTCACCGCTCCTTCCTTTCCTCCCCTCCGGTGATCGGCGCCAGGCATAGCCTATGCGTGCGACGGCGATGGCGGATGCACTCCTCCCTCTCGCAGGTCATAGGGTGATGTGGGGCGCCCTAGCTCGAGGGTGTGACCCCGATCTGGACTGCGGCGGCGCCGATCTGGTTCATGACGGCCCAGCTATGGACTACGACGGTGTGGCGGCCGTCCGGCGTCCTAATGGCAGTTGTGGTGGCAGTGTTGGCGACGGTGACGGCTATGGCGCGGTGGCATTAGAGGCGGCGTGGGTTGTGGGCGCGGCTGTTGGGGAACGCAATATTTCAAAAAAAAAAATCCTACGATCATGCAAGATCTATCTAGGAGATGCATACCAACGAGAGGGGGAGAGTATGTCTACGTACCCTCATAGACCAAAAGCGGAAGCGTTATGAAACACGGTTGATGTAGTCGAACGTCCTCGCGATCCAACCAATCAAGTACCAAACGCATGGCACCTCCGCGATCTGCACATGTTCAGCTCAGTGACGTCCCTCGTACTCTTGATCCAGTTGAGGTCGAGGGAGAGTTTCATCAGCACGACGGCGTGATGACGGTGATGATGAAGTTACCGACGCAGGGCTTCGCCTAAGCACTACAACGATATCACCGAGGCGGAATTATGTGGAGGGGGGCACCGCACACGGCTAAACAATCAACTTGTGTCTATGGGGTGCCCCCTCCCTCGTATATAAAGGAGGGGAGGAGGGGAGGGCCGACCCTCTCTATTGCGCGCCCAAGGGGGAGTCGTACTCCCAGTAGGAGTAGGTTTCCCCCCTTCCCTAGTTGGAGTAGGAGAAGAAGGAAGAGGGAGAGAGGGGGAAGGAAAGGGGGGGCGGCCCCCACCCAATTCGGATTGGGCTTGGGGACGGCGCCCTCCACCTGGCCGCCTCCTCCTCTCTCCACTAAGGCCCAATAAGGCCCATTAACTCCCCGGGGGGTTCCGGTAACCCCCCCGGTACTTCGGTAAATGCCCGAACTCACCCAGAACCATTTCGATGTCCAAACATAGCCTTCCAATCTATCGATATTTATGTCTCGACCATTTTGAAACTCCTTTTCATGTCTGTGATCACATCCGGGACTCCGAACTACCTTCGGTACATCAAAACACATAACTCATAATATAAATCATCATCGAACGTTAAGCATGCAGACCCTACGGGTTTGAGAACTATGTAGACATGACCGAGACACATCTCCGTTCAATAACCAACAGCAGAACCTGGATGCTCATATTGGCTCCTACATATTCTACGAAGATCTTTATCGGTCAAACCGCACAACAACATACATTGTTCCCTTTGTCATCGGTATGTTACTTGCCCGAGATTTGATCGTCGGTATCATCATACCAAGTTCAATCTCGTCACCGGCAAGTCTCTTTACTCGTTCCGTAATGCATCATCGTGCAACTAACTCATTAGTCACATTGCTTCCAAGGCTTATAGTGATGTGCATTACCGAGAGGGTCCAGAGATACCTCTCCGACAATCAGAGTGACAAATCCTAATCTCGATCTATGCCAACTCAACAAAACACCATCGGAGACACCTGTAGAGCATCTTTATAATCACCCAGTTACGTTGTGACGTTTGATAGCATACTAAGTGTTCCTCCGGTATTCGGGAGTTGCATAATCTCATAGTCATAGGAACATGTATAAGTCATGAAAAAAGCAATAGCAATAAACTAAACGATCATAGTGCTAAGCTAACGGATGGGTCTAGTCCATCACATCATTCTCTAATGATGTGATTCCTTTCATCAAATGACAACACATGTCCATGCCAAGGAAACTTAACCATCTTTGATTAACGAGCTAGTCAAGTAGAGGCATACTAGGGACACTCTATTTGTCTATGTATTCACACATGTACCAAGTTCTCAATTAATACAATTCTAGCATGAA